TGCTGATAACGGAACTACAAGAATAGTATTTTCCAGGACACAGACATTGTCACTGCAGTCACACTCAAGTTGTAATATTGAACGAAGACATGATATGTTATGTTGAGTGCGAATTTCTTTGGCATAAGCAATATATGTTGAAATATAGTACAAGACATACCTTTCCCGACTGAGTTGTATTTGCTAGGCGACAAAATATAATCGAACAGCTATCCAGTATTGACACCTTACATGAGACAAACCCCAGAATATGCAGAGGAAGTGTAGAAAATTAAATAGCATATTACATACTTTAGAGTAGAGGTTGGACATGCATTCGGAGAATTAAAAACATGTATGTGTCGTCGAAAAGACTTAATATTTAAATGATAAAAAATATATCATTTCATTTTACTAAGTATCTCAATTGGATTTATTTTTTTTTATTTTTAGAGGACCATTTGTTTTTCGTTAACTGTTATCGTAAGTCTGGATGTAATCCTAGGTAAAGACCTAGTTTCCACAAAACTCTATTAATAGACTTGTTAGATAAATGTTTACAATTGACAATTGAGAGTTGAGAGTCTACAGTTGAGATATTTAAATAAGGGATCATCTCAAAAGTATTAATTTGATTATTGATTAACACGGCACACCAACGGCTTTTCTAACATTGCTTTTAATATCTATAAAAAAAATATGAGTGGACGCCTTTCCACCTTTTATAAAATTATTATTTTAGGTTGGTTAATAAATTTGTTGCATAACATCAAGCGACAAATTCTACGTAAAAATAGGTTTGATGATTTATTGAAATTTTGCATACAATCGATTGATTGGCTTGGTTTGTTTTCTTGATTGAATGATGTATTGCGTGACAGTTTCATTACGTATAGAGACAGATATTTCATATTGATTTATTCACTGATATATTCTTACTGTGACGTCCAACGACAAAAATTTAACGCAAATTCTTTACTCACTGAATGATAGATGCATCGTCCTCCAAATAAAGGGTTTCATAGGAACAAGCGGAACTAAAACGTAGGGCCTAGACCCCCATAAATTACACGTTTTCGTATTCTTGCAACATGTGTTTTTTTGTATTTAAGTCATGTTATTTCTAGCTTGTTGAAAATACATGATTTAACACCTTTCTTCTTCCGTTCCGAAAATATATCCTTACATTTTCCAATATAACTTCAATAGGAACATGCAATGATTATCACCTCCTTAAAACTCTCATTTAATCTTCTTTTATGAATATACTTTTTATTCTAGGGATTATCGGAATGTATGTTTTAAGTATTTGTTGTAAATGCATTTATTACTATAAAATCGGACTTGGATCTCAACTTTTGTTATTTTTTTTTTTTTTTTTTTTTTTTTTTTCACATATCTATGTGAATCTGAAAATTCCCTGGTATGTTTTTTTTTTTTTTGCTTTTAGCCCGTGTATTTAATCGATGAAGTGGTTCCCATCCTGTCTTTTATGTAGCAGGGGTTGGGGAATTTAATACAGAATGAACGTTAAATATTCGGCACTGGACGTCAAACAAACACTCAATCAATGAATTAATAAATATGAAATATGCGTCTCTTTACGTTATGGAAACTTTCAATTGATAAATCATTCTATCAATGAAACATTCAATCAAACAACTAACCAATACACCTACCGCCCAAATAATCCATCGATATGAAAAATTTGTCACCTGAAATTAACAAACAGTTTATCAACCAATAAGCTAAGCTATCAACCAAAAGGAATGTTTAATTTAAAGAAAAGTGAATTACTTTCATTTCCAATTGTTTGCAAAACAGCTATTGGCTAAAACAATAAATACACTTATTAGTAACAATGTTATAAAAGGTATTCATGTACCTAGTAATTCAATAATGAAGTTCATACTTTTGAAATGACCTCCTATTTAAATGTCTCAACTCTATACTCTCGATTGTGAATTGTCAATTGCAATCATTTATCAAACATGTCTCATAGTAATGACATATTTGATACTTTGTTGAAAAGCCGTTTATTATGTTCATAGGGGTTAGTTGGTTACTAACATTTATAAACAATTGTTAAGCAGTTTAGTGCATTATGTATGAAACTGCCCCTTTATTAATAAAAGCAAAACTGGACTATTACAGACTAACAGAGGATTAATACAGAGCCATTATGAAAAAAACAGGGCCATCATGAAAAAAACAGGGTCATTATGAATAAACAGGGCCATTATGAAAAAAACAGGGCCATTCCGAATAAACAGTGATATTATGGATTTTCAGTTGTTATCAATTCAAATACATTTCTGAAGAAAAGAAACATCAAGAAATTGAAAGTTCCCAAGAATCATGACTTATCTTATTTAACCCTGTTGTCAAGTTGATAATTTAATAATATATTCCATGATGTGTATCAATTTATTCAATTCTGAGTTTTAAAATCCAGAATGAAATCTTGTAGTTTTTATGCCATAAATTGCTTTGAATAGGACAACAATTAAACTAAATTTACATTTGCCTGTTATTCCATCACAACAATTTAAAAGTTTCTTTTTAATATTGCATTTAGTATAATTATAAACATTCAATTTCTCCACAAAAAAAATTGATTTGGCTTGGTGAAAGATTACAAATTGACGGTTTGGTTAATACAAGTGTAAAGAAATGGGTGTTTTCAAATTGACCCTGTTATTTGTCCTCGGTCAGTAATAAAGGCCTCGGAGGCTGTAATGTCCCTCGGTGTTGCCCTGTGCCATTCTAGACTATTATAACAGACCTCGGACATATAACAAGGCCATTATGAAAACACCCATTAATTAACACTATAATAAATGATAAAATACATACAAATTAAACAATTATATAAACGATATCTTTTTCAAATATGTTTTCAATATTATGTTCATTCACCCGGAAACAGCACTGCGGGTACGTGTATTTTGAACCATTTCAATAAGTGAAGGAAACAATATTTTTCAAAATAGAAAAAAAAAGTATTGATTTTGGCGTACAATCATTGATATTTTATATTTCAATTCCATGGTCTTCACAAGGAATATCACAGTGATCGTATTAAAGTTTGGACTGTTTTAAAAAGAGGTAGAGGTAGTTAATCTAGTTAGAAGTGTTGCCTGAATTAATCTGACACTGGGATCAACATTTTTCGGTTATAAAATTGTGTAAAAATTTAAAAACGGAAAGTGTCTTACTCGTGCATAGCTGTGATTCTTTTCTGAGTTTGGCTAAGGAAGATCAGACCAAAAAATAGGCAAAACCATATGCAAATTGATGTTTTTACCTTGAGAAATCAACAGTATATCAGTCTTCATGGTGCGATATCCATCATTCGATGTTAGATGGTTTAAAAAAAACACTTAAAATTGGAAAATTCATTATATGAAACAAAATTCTATTCGATATCTATAGCTCAGGACTATTTACTGGTATGCATAACGATGATTGATGATCAGAACATGAATGTTAAATGTTTTAAAATCCAAAGTATATGTAACCTGTTTACCTGTCCAGACAAACATTTACTTTCCCGAAATTTCCCAATAAATATTTAAAGTATTTCAATGTTAGTTTGTATAATTCTTAAAACTGTTTTGTATCACAATATAAATGATGTCTGTGATATTTGTTAATGTGTATAAATAAAAAGAGGTATTGGGTTAACATCAATGAGACAAAAACCGATTGCAATTTTGTATTGTTTTTTAAATGCTAACCAGTTTTACATGTATTAAGTTTTGAAGCCATTGAAGAAATAAAAACAAAATAATTAGATCAATTTTCAAATTGACTTGTAAAACTGTTTCCTTTCAGATGCCAAGCTTTGGGTTTTGCAGAACATTGATGGGCCACCAACGTCTTCCTTTATCTATTAATTTGCAAACAAATAAGCTAGACTTTGATCAGCAAGTTGTGGGTGTTTCTTACAAATTGTGCAAAAATTTAATTTATTTTCAAAAAGCCAGAGGAATTCCGTAAGTCTCGCCTGTCTTTCTCCGCCTGCCTTTTCCATTTTTTTTTACTTGATTCGATATTATTAATTTCATTTTTTTTTGTCTTGATTATTTCGTCTAAGTGTTTTCATCGGGTATTTTTCAATCTCGATAAGACTCAATCATGAAAAATTATAACGACACTTCCGTTAGATTGCGGATTAAACCTAATAGACGATCTCGGGTCAATGGACAAAGATAACATAATGTTTATAAGACCCCGATTCGCATACTGATCTTTATTTAGTTCGGTTGTTTATCTATTCCCGGTTGTACATGATACTTCTCCTCATGAACATTGATGTTTTGACTTAAAATAATACATCTTAATAAGTTTTCAAAATCATTCTATAGTTTTGATATTGCGCAGACTGCTTCGTGGTTGGATTCATTGTTTGTCCAATGATTGTGTTACGTGATTCCTGTGGCATTTCGATGAAGCTGTTTGTATTGCTGAGTTTACCCTCTAAATGCCTGTTGTAAATCTAAAAGTATTGGCTGCAGATGAGTTATCAGCATCACATTTAATATGGTGCCTACTTAACCTTCCAGAGCAACAGAGATCAATATCGAGTACCATCATTTATGTCCTTACAAGAGTGCAATATCATATAAATTCCTTTAACAGAGCGACTTTTTAAAAGGCATGTGCATCCGTGAAACAGTAATGTACCGCGACAAAATATGCAAACAGTATATTTTTGGATTTTCCATGTTTACATCTTACAATCAAATTCGTCTAGACTTCACAATGACAGATTCTATATTTTTTAAATATAATTGATGAAAACGGAACAAATCTAAAAGAAAATGAGCTTCTCAATGCACAGAAACCTTGTCAAAAATCCTGGGAATGAAAAAATAGCAAAACGGGAGACATTCATTATGGTACTTCATCCGTTAAAAAATGGGTTGAAGTGGTTTAAACAGTTGACAATGTAACTATTTTTTAGTATAATTTCAAAGTGAAAGTAATGTTGTTTTTTTTGTGTATTAGATATAAAAAGACAATAAGAAAATGGAAGAAGTACATTCAAATCCTTCAAATGCAGAAACTTCTACAGGTAAGAAATATATCTATATCTACCTACATTCGGGGCATTTAATAGCTTACTACATAGTATGGGTTTCCCAATCCATTACATACCGTATGGTAAACTATATCTATATGTATATTCGATCTGTGTGCTAAAGTGCAACTATTTCTCGACCTCTTACTTTTATATAACTTACATGTATTGTCCTTTTCTGTTTTAATTCTTTCGCCTCTAAGTTTGAAAACGTCATCAAGCAGGACGTTCTTTGCATTTAAACTAACAAAAGTAAAAGATGCAGTTATAGATTTTACAGTTGAAAAAAAATCCTAAACGTCCAAAAGAGAAAAATAGGGATACATGTGATAAATTATAAATATATAAGACTAACAAAGGTCATTTTCGTTTTTTCTTCACAGAAACTGACTTGGACGATGTAAAACAATACTGTGAACCCTGCTCTACGAGAAATATAGAATCTGTTGCGATTCAGTATTGTCAAGATTGCGATGAAAAATTTTGTGACACGTGTACTGCAAGTCACCAAACACAAAAGGCTACAAAAGGGCATACTATTGTTGACATAAAACATGTACAGTTCGATAGTCCAAAGAAGGAATGTGAGCCATGCTCGTACAGTAGTAAATCTACGCCTGCAACCTGTGTATGTCAGAATTGTGAAGAATTTCTTTGTGGGCAATGCAAGACATACCATCTGTCACAGAAACAGAATAAAAACCACAATATGATTTCTATATTAGAAGAGGTGTTGTGCGAGCCTTGCAAAAGTTGTGACAAAAGAGTACAAGCTTCTGGATACTGTCTACATTGTGAATATCCGGAGCCTTTGTGTCATTCCTGTGTAGAACAGCATACAGCAATGAAGTTAACAAGAGATCACGAGTTGTCCTTTGATATAGCCAATTTTATCTTAAGGTAACATTGTAATTATGCATAAAGGCATTGCTTCTACGTATTTACAACAGGGGAATATAATATTTGTTCAGGCGGTTTATTGACTTATTGATATCCCTGTTTGATGATATCAATACCTTCCAATGAATAATGTTAATGAGTAAACTCACTATAGATACAAGGATTACACATTTGTACACCAGACGGGTCTACAGAAGACTTATCAGTGACTCCCGATTCAAAAAGTAAAAAAAAGCAAAATTATATACGGAGTTGAAGAGCACTGAGGACCCCAAATTCCGAAATGTTTTGCCAAATACAGTTAAGGTAATCCATTCCTTGGATAAAACATCCTAAATATGTCGAAAGTTTTGTTAACAGTTAATTTATAAGTATGACAATATAAATGATAACAGTCGACATATTCAACAACTGATAAATATTAACATTATGTTGTTCATCAATTTGGATTTGTTTAAAGATACATTCATTCACTCCGCATTTATAAAATTGTAGATACAAAGGCAAAGAAGAAATGGAAGCAGGTTTGAATTAATGATCTTTTTTACCTGGCCATAACAGCTAGTGACATCATTTGACGTTCGTTGTCGTCGTCAGTCTCTAGATCGTCTCGTTGTCCATCGTCGTCAAAATCTTCTTCATTGTAACCAAAAAACCATGGTCAACTAAAGTTTGACTGCATAAACCTTAGGGTATCTGTATAATGATAGTGATGTTTTGTTCCTACCATTCAACTAATATATCTGTCATGGCTGAAAAATAGAATTTTTTTTAGCAAAATTGACAAAACATGGTATCAATTTTGTGTAATCCACTCTTACTACAGTTTACAACTAAGATCTTTGATACTCCACAAAATGATTGCACATATATTGCAGATGTCTTATTGACATCTTATAGATGTGATATTGTAAATTTGTGAAGTAAATTATTCCTATTTTATTTGGAACAGTAATTTTGCAGCAAAATGTATACTACACTGTTCAAGTTTTGTGTAATCATCTCCTACTACATTTTGTAACACAGATCTTTAAATCTTGACAAAATGATTGCTCATTTATTGCATGTATTCAACTGATATTGAGATTTGTTTTCGAAATTTGTTCTTATTTTCCATACGTAAGAACCTAGTAATTTTAAGCAAATTGTAAAAATGGTACCATGTTTTTGTAATAATAATTTTTTTCTTCTAAAATTTATTCCCAAATCATTGAAATTGCATAGAATCATAGCACACACAATGCAGTTGTGCACCTGCTATTACGACTTCATAAACCATTATCAACTCAGATGATTTTGCGCACCCCGGGCACTTGAGTCCTTGATCAAGAAATAGAAATGTTTCAGTGGTTGCAAACAGAAAAAACTTGAATGAATAACCTCAACAGTAATATAAAGATAATATGATATTATTGCTGACGACGAAACAAGTAGCCAGCAAAGTAAATGCACGTTACTAAAGGTCACCGGATGCCTTTCAACAAACGTACATAGCATAACATAGAACAAACAGAACATTCAGTTGGAAACAACATGAACCAAATTTCTAGAAAAATAACAAAATGTTGTGCTGTTATTCCACTGTTCTAGGTTAGTTTCAAGTTGGGTACGCGCTAACAGTTTTGACCCCGCCACATTCTGTACATACACGTCCCAAGTCAGGAGCCTGTAATTCAGTGCTTATCGTTAAATACATTACTTTTCAAGAAGATGACCGTAATATTGAAATTCCTTGCCAAGAGGAAAGTGCTGTCTACTAGTCTAATGATATCCTATACCCTAAACAGCAGTGGCATGTTTTCCAGAATCATTTACACTCTATAATCAAACATGTAAAAGTTGTAATGTATTTCCTTGCTGATAAAACATTTTATTTAAAGACCAATATCGATTTCAATTTGAATTTAAAATGTCCTTCTATAAACCAACAATTATACAACAGAAAACAGTCGAAATCACACAAAATTGAATGAGGTAGGCTTACGTACATAACCAGCCGGATTATGTCAAGAACAAACGATATAAGTATTAATTTAATGCACCAGAAGCACTTTTGAAAATTAATGTCACTTCAGTGATGCTCGAAGCCAAACTTTTTGAAAATCCAAAACCCAGTTCAGACTTTGAAGAGCTAACCAAAGTTAAAAGAACTTAATTTGTTTTTCGTAAATTGTTCTGTTATAAATTAGACCATTAGTTTTCTCGTTTGACTTTTTTCACACTTTTCATGTCAGAGCCTTTTAAAGCTGACTATACGGTTTGTGTTTTACTCACTGTTGAAGGCCGTGCGATTGCCTATAATTGCTTACATTCACTTCATTTGAACTCTGGTGGATAGTTGTCTCATTAGCAATCATACCACATTTCCTTATTTGTATATGAAGGGGAAGCAAAATCCACAAAAGGATGAAGCATGAAGGATATATAACCGTTTAATTGATGAATGAAACCAACAAAAGTAATGACAACAAAAACATGAATAGCTGTAACATTTGAAGTATTTGTACACAATCTCCTCTATAAGCAATATCTCGTCATTTTCCATTATATATTGATATATATAATTTTAGATCCGGCCTCTTCAAAGAGCCAGCGTACATGTGAGCCTTGCACTTACCGCAATAAAAGCGTTCTTGCAGCACACTACTGCAGAGAATGTGAGGAATTCATGTGTGATTCTTGCATATCCCAACATAGGTCAATGAAGAATTTTTCAAAGCACGATATAATAGACGTTAACAACATTTCAACTTCTGTGGATATGTGCGAGCCATGTAAATATGACAAGAAGGAAACACAGGCGACACATAAATGCGAAGAGTGTGATGAGTATTTATGTGGAGAATGTAAGACGGTTCATCTATCACAGAAAGTGAATAGAAATCATCCTCTTAAACAACTGTCTTCATCCATTTCATGTGACAATTGTTCTGCTAATGGTTGTGATGTCATGGCTATTGTTTACTGCAAGGATTGCGACAGTCCCCTCTGTGATTCCTGTGCTGAATGTCACAGCGCAATGAAAAGAACGAGAGGTCACATGTTATCAAAAGACTTGACTACCGTTATTTTAAGGTAAAACAAAATAACTAGTTTAATCCTTCGCAATATAAATATCCCTATCGCAATTTGGAAATCTCCAAGTAATTTAATTATATCCCAGTGATAATTTCCTCAACAGAATTATCTATTTAATAATATGATATATATATTGTTTATATGTTTACTTGTCAACACTTATAGCATCACCATTTCTAGGCAAATCATTACCTATTCACTTGCTGATTTACAGAAATAACATCACACAATAGAATTAAATTCTTCTGAAAGGAGAGTTTTTAATGAGTCGACCTTTTTCGGTCACCATAATTCGAAAAATCAAAAAATATTATCAATCGGAAAAATAACATGTGATCCAAGAGTCGTAATTTTTTCTAATTGATTTTAAAGTTTTTATGTTATGCTTTTGAACAACTGTCCCAGTTTAGTGGAGGACTGAGAGCTCGCAAACATGTTTAACCCCGCAAAATACTGAATGTTCCTGTACTTCATTGAAAATCGTAGGTTGCTGTGTATCATATTTCGATTTTTGTCTAACATAAATCAGGGCGTAGGCTTCCTCATTTTAATTTTTTTTTCATTCGTTCATATTGGAGTCTTTATAGTTATCTATAAGGTTTTTTGTATTTAAGACCGTACGGTTACATATAGTTGCGAACGTCTACCTCATTTGGTCCTTAGTGTATAGATGCCTCATTACCAATCATACCATATCTTCCTTTTTTATATATTCAGACATAAGACTCTTAATAAACAGTATTGATATTTTTGAATTTTTGAAATTTTGAGTGTCAATTCAGTCGGTCTTCCTCATTCATCTGTTGGATCAGTTTTGTGTAAGTAGTTTACCCCTGTTAACGAAGACCGCATACTCTGTGTGTAAGAAACACACATCCGTGTCAGTAGCACACTTCTGTTAACGAAGTCCGCAAAGTGTGCGATAATTATGTTCAAAGTGGTGCCTGAGGTCGTCTTATGCCTACAATGAGTTGATATTTTTTTGTTAAATGTGAACCTCACTGACTTTTGTTTTAAATTTCTTGAATAAAACTGCTGTTTATTTGTTTTTGTTTTTTAAGCATTATTGCTGTTGTCATACGTTTGGTTTTATTTTAATTTCGTTCGTCCATAGCTCTTTTCTGGGTATAGGTTCCTTAGGAACGCTCAAGCATTTGAAAACGAAAGATGTATAAATACGCTGAAAGGTTGGGACCTCTATGAACTGGATTGACATTTGTTACATATGTAATAGTGGATGAACTATTGTTGCATTCAAAGAATCATAATGGTATAATTTTATGGTAAATACAGATAAATCAACATTTGCCTTTTTTCAATGCTTTTTATACATACAAAAGATTGTAATTCCGGATAACATAAGAAGAACTTTTGTTATTGTCATCAAATATTGTTTTGTAGTTTCAAGCCATGTTTATGATTAGGAGCTATAAAATCAATACAAATATGAAGATTGCTGCTTTTTTAAATAGCTTACAGAACAAAGGAAACAAAGCAAGACCTATCTCTGCGACAAACGAAGCTGACAGTTATACAGGAGCAAGACCAGAGACAGGACCTTATCACTCGGGTAAAGTATTATTTATCAAAAAAAAGACTGAAGTGTCGAACCAGTTACTGTGTGGTACTGAATTGACTGCAAGCGAATTGTCTGAACAATACTGAGTTTATCGCAGAGGAGAAGTCTGAAATTTGACTGATAGTATGCATACATATTTATTGTTCAGACTTTGCAGATGATGCTCAGATCAAAATGACAGTTTCAGAAAAAGATTCATTTGCTTGACCAAGTGTAATATGCTAATGCGATCTTTTTTTTTAAGTCATTTAACTCTCATGTTACTTTCTTCCAATTCATAGGAGGTTTCTATTATATCAGAAAAAAATCAACTTTTTGCCTTTTACCTGCACGAAAATGTTTTAAAGCTTGATGTCAGCGGTCAGTAACTTTCAACATTATAATGTTATATTTTATTCATGTTCTAGAAAATATATTTAACTTAAATGTAAACTTCTGTAATCGCTTAGCTCCCGTTAACTTTTAATAAATTGTTTTCTTCTTAAACTACTTGGCCAATGAGAATTTGAACATGCAACAATTACCTGTGGTTATCTATTTTTAAAAGTGTGTCAGATAATTATGCATGCCAATCAACATAACCATGAAGGTCAAAATAGAAAATATGGATAAAATGAAAGATTTATCTAATATTTTGAAAACCTTTACGGAAAAAGAAAATCTAGCAGATAATAAATGTTCAGAATGTTAAGATATCGTTAATATCTTATTGAAAAAAAATTTCAGACGATTTAATTTTTAGAATTATAGCAATTAAATAAGACTTTTATACATTTTTTTTTCCTGCAATTTCGGCAATTATCTTGAAAACTTTAACAGAGAGAAGCTTAAAACAGCACAGAAAAAAATAATCAAAACAGAACAACAAATAAGAAAAATCGTCAGTCGACTCCATATAGCTATTGCTCCTAAATGATTATTTGTAACCCTCGAGGGTATCTTCCGCTTAGACACCATTTGTTTCTAAACTGGCATGATTTATAACATAAACTTTTCTAAATATATCCATTCATAATGTGAAAAATTACTAAGAAACTAAAAATGGGACTAATCACTCCTTAAAAAATGACCTCACACTAAAAAGTTATTTTGCTGAATTGATTGATTGATAGCGTTTGACTTTGTCTGACTTCCCATTTTTGAATTTGCCTTGGATTTCAGTATTCTTGTTATACTTTTTTGGCTATTCTGTTTATGTCCTTTTTGACATATACATGATATAACTCCTAACATTGCAGCATACTCACGATTCCATGACTTTCATTTTTTAAAAATTGAGTGTTCCGGATGAAAGTAAATTAATAAACGCACGACTTTGTGAAGGGATCTGATCATTTTGGGGTTTTGGACTTAATGTTTAGGTTTGAGCGTTTCTAATGAAGATACATCCAGGAATGTGACTTGCACGAACGAAATTTATTAAGTATTATCTAATTTGCGAGAACTGTGTCGGTTGATTCCACTACTAGTTGACGGTAATTTCAGAGGGTATCATTAGCTCAGTAGCGAGTGATACATTGCTGACATGATATTTTCTAAAATTCTTCATTAATAAGTTAAGAAGGTTTTTAGAAACTACTGCTCCAATACCTTCCGGCAAACTTGACCTGAAATAAATCTAGCTATTTTTTTTATGTCCTTTTAGTCATATATCGTCATCGATTTTACTTATTTATATAAATCCCTGGCTCACAGTACTTGGGTTTGAGGTTTGCTGATGAATGTAAACCCAGAAAAAAACTTTGGACGCACGACATTTATAAGGATATATTTTGTCTAATAAGAGTTATTGTCCTTGTTACTGTTTTTTTTTTATTAATTTGTGTGTTCTTTGCCCCAACTACAAAAATGTATAAAAGATGAGAGAAAAATTCAAACAGCACAAATGAACAACACAACAAAATGTACAAATGAGTTAAATTACCGAAATCGTCAACTTGTCCCTTTTAAGTTCCATTGCCCTTGAATAACGATTTTGTTTGCAGTTTTACAATTATGGCAGAAACCATTATAAAAAGGAAAAGCTTTAAACAGCAGATATATACAGCCATAACAGAAGACAATTAGGTCAGATGGAATAAATCGTCATTATTCTTCTTACATTATATGACGATTTAACCCAAATTGTTCATTATTACAAAACCATTGGTAAAAAATGAGAAACTATTAATGGCAAAATATTGGACAAAATGAGAGCTAGAAATAAGTTACCGTTGAATAAAATTGTCGGTCAACTCTACATATGACTGTTTTCCTTTAAATGATGTTTTATTTTATCAATTTTAGTGTAATTACCTAATATCTCATTGTTGATACAATATACCAGAACTTTGTTATTATAATTTTCCATGATAGAGCGTTGCTGCTTACAAGGCGGCTATTAAACCAAGGCTTCCAATTGGTATCGTTGACGTTATTCCTTGAATCACTTTACAGACGCCGTCACAAGTTGGTTCACCGTTATAAAAATTCTGTTTCACAGATGACGCCGCAGATTTTGCAATTATCTGAACCACTATCCCGTCCTCATTTCCTAGAATATGACATTATGAGAAAGATCACTGCATTTCTACTTACATGATCAACACGAAGAACGACACAAATGAAGCAGGATCTACTTACCCTTTTGGAGACCCTGAGAACATCCCTGATAAATTTTGAGTTTCTGAGTTTTAAGATTTTTATGTTGTGTTTTTTGTAGACTACTGTTTTTCTTTTCTTGATTCTTTTTTTCCAAATGGGGTTGTCTGTTTGACATTTTTTTTCAAAATAGTAACCCATTTTGAACACACTTGAACCAAAGGTTACATGTATGACATACATTGGCGTCCGGAATCAATTTTTCCTATACAAAAATATGTTCCTCTGAGACTACTTAGCCAATTTAAAACCAAACTTGGTCACAGCCATCATGGTGTTTAAAGGTGTGTCTGTTAATTTTGTCTGTCAACCAGCATGGCCAAGATAAAAATAGAAAATAGGTGTTTATTCCTTATTTATAGATAGCACATCTGACAGGAACTGAAATTATTTGATTGCCAAGATCTATTTACTGTCTGTTTTTTTTTTACAAAATTTGACATATAACTCCTTTCAACAATTTATTGCGGCTTACTTGTCTTTTCATTATTGCATATTTTCTTGAAGACTTTAATCGAGAGAAACTTTTAATAGCACAATTGACCAACAAGACAAGAGTTACACGTAAGTCAATATTGCTTAGTCGTCTTTCGACTCCTATTTGTAGTAATAATTGCCCTATTCACCATCTTTGGCGTTTTTGAAAATTATCTTGAAAACCTTATTATATCCATAAAAACTTTAAAAAGCGAAAATGACTAGCAAGGCAAGATTTGCCAATTAGTTACATGACCTAATTCGTCATTCGACTCCTTTATAGACGTTAGTGCACTGTGAAAAGGATTTTTACCATTTTTACGTTTTTGCGTATTATCTTTTAACTTGTTATAGATAGTTAGAAACTTTCAACAGCTAAACCGATCAACAAGACATGATCTACAAATATGTCAACATAGCTAAAATCGTCAGTCAATTCCATTTGGAGTAATTATCCTTTAATGTTTTGCGTTTTGACCTTTCATCTTGAAAAAAAAAATAGTTACGTTATTGTTGACAGATCAAGTGAAACTGTAAATACACATAGGATTAGCTTGACAATTCCTACACATGGGACAATAAAGCCAAAATTTTAAGATCCTTTAAGATGATTTTTACCTACTGTTATGCCCCATCGTGTCGGAGGGGGTCACAAAGTGCTACCCGTGTCTGTCCGTACGTCTGTCCCTCCGTATGTCCGTCCGTCCGTACGTCCCAAACTTATACACAATGCCTATTACCACAAAAAAAACAGATCAAGTTCGAATTTGGGTGGCGTCACTTTTACTATTCTCTAGATATGTCTCTTTATAACAATTTATGCCAGCGGAGGCATCATCTGTGTCCCATGTAGACAATATTCATTTATCAATAATATGTTGGCGACAACGTTGGACGGAAAAAACTGTAACAAGAAAAATGTTCAGCAAGAAAAGATCTACCAATAAGTCAATATAGCCGAAATCGTCAGTCGACGATTTTAACCCTTTTTGCGTTTTCGGTAAAAAAAATTAATGAAGATACTGTTAACAACAAAAACATCGATCAACATGAAAAGACCTACAAATGCGTCAACAAACCGAAAATCTATGTCTTTTTTCTTATAGGAGTTATTGCTCTTCAATAGTGTGTATTTGTTTTATTTGGCAATTTTTTTGGGGGAAATTTTGATTTGCAATGCGCGTCTGGCATGATAAATTAAAATCCTGGTATCTGTGATTAATTTGGGTTTTAATGACAAACACTATAGTAGATACAGAGAAAATGAAAACAAAATGCAACGATAAAATATTTTAGTTATGAATTATCTTCTAGTCTTCAATGTTGGAGTGTGGCCATTGTTGTACATACATCTAAATGAGCGACACAGGCTCTAAAGAGCCTCTAGTTCTCATTTTATATATCCATCCGAAGTCAAAAATATCACTTTGCTGCATATGTGTACTTTCGATTTATTCTATTTTTATTTTTATTTTGCCATGATCTAGACTTGATAGGCTTCTTTTATTTATTTTTTAAATTGCGACTTTCTAACGTGTTCTGAATGAAATTTAAAGTTATTGAGTAACATACTACTTGTACGTTTTCAGTTTCAGTTGTTAATACTCTTTGCATTTGAGATGTAGGCATTCCATATTACTTAAAAAAGTATAAAATTTGTAGAAGGTTAATGTTTTGGTAATTGAGTTCATATATTGAATAAAGAGCCATGCCATGAGCGAATGACACGCCCGTCGCTTTTACTCCTAAAAGTCATATCATAAGTTTATAAAAAAAACTAAGGGGAGGTTATTTTGATAGATATAAACCAGTCTCCAAAGTTTCATGAAAACTGCTTAAAGCACTTTTGAATTATCGTACGAACGGACAGACGGACGGACGGACAGACGGACGGACGGACAGACGGACGGACACTTCATAAGATCGCTCAAAGATTATAGAAAAAGTGTCAATTGTACATATTGAACATTATTTGAATAATTCCTACTCCGAACAATATACTTGTATCAATGACAAACATCGATATTGATTTATTTGATATTCCATTTGCTTACTTTATTTAAGGTGCCCAAAATGCACAAATTAATAAAGACATTCCTGTATGCGAACCCTGTAGCATCGAGGACAGCACAGTAAATGCATTATACTTTTGTGAGGAATGCGATGAAAATTTATGCGAGGAATGTTTCAACTTTCATCAGGCACAAACAGAAAACTATCAACATAAAGTTACTGGCATATCAAGAAACACAGTTTTCTGTAAACCATGCCACTCCCTTAAACGGGAGTCCGAAGCTACATCATTCTGTATTGACTGTCAGGTTCCAGATCCTCTTTGTGAAGCTTGTGCCCAAAAACATACAAAAATGAAGAGAACAAAATCTCACAGGATATCTTCAGATATTTGCCAGCTTCATTCAAGGTCAGTTGATAAAATTTACCTGGAGCAGTATCATTTGTCCTTCTTTCGTAAATAAGTGCATAAGGTTTCGTGAGAAACAATCAATTCCTTATATTGATAACCAGTCTTTTCATCACAATAAGGGGTTATCACTAATAATGTCACCTTGAACAGAATTTACTTAATTTTTATTTTGTAAAAATTAATGATTGCCACTGAACTTTAGATATTGATTGCATCAAAGTGATTCACTTACATAAATAAATCTAATATAATGTCTAAGCTTTAATTTTGTTAATACCGGTAAGAAAATATATAGTTTTCAACATGCCAATACTGATGTCAAATTTAGACATTCCATGCTATTTATAGTAATATACCGGTATCTGCATTCAAAGAAGGTTCAGATGTGTTTTCCATAAACCTGGCGATTGACATTTATATTAATTTTAACCCTATAACTTACATCGATCTATACTTAAAACGTTAGTGACAAATGGTGTTTTATTTCTTCTTCAGATTTCCCAACAATGAATATGCCATGCAGAAGCAAGGCCTTACAGACGAATGTTTGACTCAAGAACTAAAACAACTAAAGGTAGCTATTGAAGTGATGTAGAATATTATCGTATTAGAGTCGTATCAGAAAATCAATAGTTAAGAATGAACACAACCTAAATTTAATATTTTAAATTAAATCTCAGAACATTTCAGTAAAATGTCCACCATCAACATTATAAATTCTAAATAAATATACTATAGTTGGTTTGAGACATAAAACAATCGACAAAAATGTAGGTTAATTTTATCAGAAATATAAATTCAATGTTTTGAAAAGAGAAATACACAACTAATACTGAAACTTTTGATTTTTAAAGGACCCAACAAATGAGGAATTGGGAAAGCCATACTCATCAGAAAGCAAATCAGATAGTACATTGCTACAGTGGCGAGCAGAGCGAGAGCTGACAGAAAACGAGGTTTATCAAATTATTTTTAAGGAGCATCCAAATGGTAAATGGAGGCCATATGTGTCAAAAGAAAGATGTAGCAAGCCAAGATTTCCAATAACTGGGCTCAAGGCAAATACATCGTACATTTTTAAAGTAAAAATAATTGACGATAGTACTGGGAAGGATGGTCAATTCACTGTAGAAAGTGACCCTATTATAACACGGGAGTCGCCAGCACTAGGTGTTTTGCAGAGGGCAGAACAAATTGAAATTGGTCCACCAACAGTTTACCAATTGCCAATAAAAGAAAATATTTCTGCCAGGAACGAGAAGGCAAAGACCAGAAAGTTTTTTCTAGGTAATTGTACAAACAGTAAATATGATTTAACTGTAAGGACGTTACATAAATATATTACACTGTTAAATAAGTGTTTGTACCCAAGGTATAGTCGGCCTTAACCATATTTAAAAAAAAAAATAATTTCAATGTTCTTGCATATTTTAATTGATTTGAAATTTTAACTGTTTTGATTTGAGCGCCGCTGGCCATGGTGAGTCCTGTTTAGGCATAACACACTTCTAGTACACTAAATTATTATTCTCGTTTCTTTGGCGAGTTTTAATGAAAACCAAAAAAAAAAAACAACAAATGTCAGTCAAATTGTTTAATTTTTAATCAATGTGTTATCATTGATATGCATAACTGAAAGAATTTGCATGTTTCTTCATTATTTACATTTCATTATAACTGACCTTTTGTTATGTTCGTAATAGTTATTGGTAATATGCTGAAACTCATCAGTAATCAGGGTGCTTACTTTACATCGTTGATTTTAATCTAAATGTTTACATGGACATCATAAGGTGACATAAAAAATATATTCAAAAATTTATTATATTCAAAAGGTAAAGAAGGTATAGACGCGATAGAACGCACTGTTATGATAGTTGGCGCCACTGGTTCCGGGAAGAGTACCTTAATTAACGGAATGGCTAACTATATAATGGGAGTGACATGGGAAGATCCATTTAGATTCACACTTATTAACTTGGAGGCATGTGAAAAGGCAAGAGAGAATGATCAGGTGAGATGAATGTTTATTTGTTTAGATTAATGTGTATTTGTTTTATTGTACTCATTTTATCAGAATCAGACCAAAATATAATCCACATGTTTAATTGGTTATTGACTTCATTAATCAATAGTTTTATAAAAAGAGAAGAAAATGCACCAAGCAAACACCTAACGTTGGATAAAAGGATAATACCACTTAACATATCCTTGTTCGTACGCACGTTATGTATGTTTGTCCATGAACAGTCTTCGAATGTTTTATTAACGTTATTCGGTTTATATTTTCAGTTTTTAAAAGTCGTCTCAAATTCAGTCTATATACACGTCTACATATGTGATCACTTAAAGACAGACATTTTTCATCAAATAACCTAGGCTTATTCAGGGCTAACACCACAGATAACATGTATTGCATTTGCAGATTTTTTTTTCACTCAATGGGATATGAAGCCATGCTGACTGACATCATTGCAAGACCGATTCCGCCCTTTACCACTCGTCCAACAAGGCCTTATAAAAACATAGCTATCGTTATCATGAATACCGAAGAAATAAAATTTAAGATCAAATCAGTAAATCTTAAAATTAGAATCGATATGAAAACAGCTGTTAAATATGAGCTGAAATTATTTTAAAATAGTAATTGATGAAACCAATTAGAAAGAATGTTGATATCAAAAGAATGCAATGCTAGAAGATACTAGTAAAACCTATTACTATAACGTGTGACATTTCAGGTAATTTGTGACGCTGTAATGTTAACCTAACTTTGATTCGTTTTAGGCACATTCACAGACCGAGTGGGTGACATGTTATACTATTCACAATGATGTATCGGATAGAGTAAACTATACCATCAACTTAATAGACACGCCTGGATTTGGTGACACCAGAGGCTTAGACCAAGATGCAAAAATAGTAGAACAAATTAGAGAATTATTTAATTCCAAAGGAGAACGGGGAGTGGCAACTCTTGATGCTGTTTGTTTTATACTCAAAGCGCCTGATGCACGATTATCAACAACTCAGAAATATATTTTTGAAGCCATCTTGTCGTTATTTGGAAATGATATCAAAGATAATATATGTACCCTTATCACCTTTGCTGATGGCCAACGACCCCCAGTTTTAGCCGGAATACAAGCAATTGAAGGAATTCCCCTTCCATATGATACTTATTTTACTTTTAATAATTCAGCTCTTTTCGTTGATAATACAATGAATACACCAAGCAACCTTTCTCCTTTCTTCTGGGACATGGGAATCAAAAGCTGTCAAACGTTCTTCGGTCATCTAACCACCCTACAAACAAAAAGTCTTTCTCTTACTACTGAGGTATTGAGGAAGAGGCAGAAAGTTGAAAACACGGTAATTCATTTACAACAGGAAATAGAGGTGGGACTATCACAAATCAATGTGCTGGAAAAAGAAGTGGCAATTTTTTCGCAGAACGAGCAAGCAATACTTCAGAATAAAAAATTTGAATACGTAGTTGACGAAGATTTTCAGGAAAAAATTGATTTAACAGGAAAAGGGCAATATACAACCAACTGCCTTACATGTAACTATACATGTCATGAGAAATGTGCGTTCGCAAATGATAGTGAGAAGGTAAAGTGCTGTGCTATGAACAGAGAAGGATCATGCACCCAGTGTCCAAATGGTTGTGACTGGAAGCTGCATCATAACACACCATATATTATCAAATGGTCAAAACGCAAAGTGAAGAAGAGATATGATGATATGAAAAAGAAATATGAAGAGGCCACTCAGAAAACATTAACGCAGGAACAAGTCTTAGAGCAAATGAGCCAAGATATAAGTAGACAAGAGGAAGCAATCCAGGTTATGATGGAAGTCATTTCAAAACTAAACAATAGGCTAAAAGAAATTGCTCTCCGTCCTGATCCTCTCAGCACAGTTCAGTATATAGAATTGATGATTGCCAGTGAAAAAAGAGAAAAGAAGAGTGGATTTGAAGGCAGAATTGATGCTTTGGAGAAATGTAAAAAACGTGCTACTTATGGAAAATCAGTTAAGATATTCCAAGATCGTGTCCGTAATACTAGGCAATCAATGGCAGCCGGTGACGTTGCAGATGAAATACTAAAAGATGAAAAATCGGTTCTTTGTAGAATAAAAGGATTTTTTGGCATTGGTAAAAAATGAATGAAAGCTAACAGAGAACTTTGTTTACCTGATATACTGTAGATTTATTTAAAACACTTTAAATTCCTAGCTGATGAAATCATAAGCTTATCTTTAGCAAGTTTATCTATACAAGATTGAACTTTGATGTTTTACTCTATATGTTTTACAGTGTTTTTCTGTGTTTTATATTGTGAATAATTTATTGTCATATTTTGTCCTAACCATTTAGGAAAAACAGAATATGCGAGTAGGTCTTTAAAGGGTCATATAAAATTTATTGTTATGACGAGGCATTTTTTTTTAATTACAGTTAGGAAATTATAAATAATTCTTGTTGTGTCAGAAAAAAGTATTCAATAGCGGCGCCATGGTTTGTTTTAAATATTTTGTAGTTTTATTTAGAATTGTTTTCTAGTGAGGATAGTTTAGTCTGCTTCAAATATTTTTTAAATTTTTTCCCCAATTTCATTCCCTGTATTTTCAAAAGTTCACTTTGCTTTCCTTCGTATATTTTTAATTTTTCAGATTTACTTTTTTACAAATTTTAAAATTCTACATGGATTTATAATGAAGTGTAAAGATTTAGTTCACGGTAATAAAAAGTTGACGATGTTCAGCTACATTGTTATTTGATCTTCATTCGAAGTATGAATGTCTTTGCTTAAGGCCATTTGCAGAATATCATTTATAAGTTTATTTTATTTTTAGAATTAAAAGACACCGAATGAAGGTCAAATGCGATATAAAAAGTCATTGATAAAATTACATCAAATATTTTTTGTGTAAAATTCTTTACATCTTTTAAAGGTTTCATGGTCAACCAGCTTTGGTTTAATTTGTAGTTGTGTGTACTTGTTTCCAAATTTTATTAATATAAATGAATATTGTGCTTAAAGAGATAGATTTCAAAACGTTTGGTTATTGGACATTAATATGTGTGTTCCTGCTTATGTATTCTTTTTTCATAAAAATAAACCTAAAAATATCTTTGTTTGCTATTTCATCAAAATTTTTTTAGAATAAGGACATTACAGAGACATAATTTAAACAGTCATATTACTTGAATATGAAAATAGGAAGATGTGGTATGATTTCCAACGAACAAACTATCCACCAGAGATAATGACGTAGACGTTCGCACCTATTATTCCTAAAGCCTTCAATAACTATCAAAACCATACCGTATGGTGAGCTATGAAAGGCACTGTCGTGGAAAAATGTTACACGTTCGATGAATAGATGACGAATAAATGCTCGTTTACCATAGTAAAAAGTAAAATAAAATAATTCAAAAACATTCAAAAACAACGCAAAACGTAATCAATTTTGTATGAATGTGAAGTTAGCAGCCTGTTCGTTATTCGATATTCGATATTTAATATCCACTCGGCTCCTAGCAGTCGGTTCGATATTCAAAGGAGTAGGGGCTTTAAGGGTCACTTCAAAAGTAGATGATTTCTCTCTCAAAATATCTTATAGGTGTCTGCTTTCCAAAAATATATATATTTTGTATATATTACTTGAAATCACTTTATATGACGTCGTCAAAGTGTATCCCTTTATTAATACCAAACATGAATGTTTAATCAATTTTGAAACTAGTGCTGTTATTATTGCACGTATTTAAGTTGAAAACTTATAAAAAAGATACCTTCTTATATACAAATATACAAAAGGACGTTCTATGAATCAATGTAAGAGTAATATACTTTCTCTTTTGTGGTCTCTGATCATTTGTATTTACCATAGCAACTGTTACCATGGTTTCAAAAATATATAGATCTTACGTTTTTGTTTTCGAATTTTACGGTGCATGGACATTTTGTTTCAGTCTAAATAATCAAAAGTCTATTTTTGATTGTTATTTCTGAAATAACAAACAATTTGAAACACACTTTTCAAGATGACATTGTTTTATGTTTATTCAACCAAAAATTATCCAATTGCCTAGAAACATTAAGAAACTTTAGATGATGTTTAATATTATTTCATCTACATTTGAAACTTTGTCGGTGTGTATGCATTTGTCATTTTGAACAGGAACAACTGCAAACTGTTTAATCAGAAACTGTTCAACAGAGTTAAAACCACTGGTATTATGTATCTATATAGTAACAGCTACCTAACAACAGCATTGATATGTTGAAATACCTAAAATGCGTATCACAATTACTGATGTCTGGTTTTACGTATGTTTGTTGTAATGAAAAGAATGACTGTACAAAAACACTGTTAAACCAATAAGTACGAATTAATTATCTAATAGAAGTTTTTATTTGAGTGAAATCCTTCAAATGTGATTAAATTCTTTGTTGTGTAAATGAACAGATGGTTTTACAGTAATGCGGACATACTGCATGTATACATTATATTATAAATGTATCTTACAGTAATAAATTTTGTTGAAATATAAATATGTTAATGAAATGCACTAAAATAAAGTCCGATTCAACATTTTTATCGACGATTTCGCCTGTGTAAGATATCATACTCTTGAAATTGTGAAAGGGGTTATACGTGTATAACCTTTTTGTTATTACGACTCTCACCAAAGAAAGATTTAATATGATAGATTGCAAACATCATGAAATAAAATCATATATATTTTTGTGTCATTAATCTTATTAGGTTAAGAACAAAAAGTTGAGATAAGCTATGCAATCATTCCTCAATGCAGTCACTGTCATCACTTTCATCAATAATCTCGGGATCTGGCATGTTACGTGTATCTGTTAGATATTTTGTCCAATCGTCACCAGAACAATAAGGTATGTTCAAACAGCGAGCATACCCTAAATACCAGATAACTGCTGAAACGTGTGCACACATACCAACTATTCTTGCTCCAGCACGACATTTACAGAACCAGCCAAGAACAGTCATTTCATCGTATTGAATACATAACAAATAAGCTCTTGCTGAAACATGTCTACTTTGGATTTTTGCACATATCAAAGTGTTTTCCTGTTTATGTACCAGTACCTCAAAGTCATTGTTTTCATTAACATCTTCAGCAACGTATGACTGACCAATTTTATCTGGTAAACGCCTAAGGTAAGGTTTCTGAGATCTTCTTCAGTAATCGAAGGAAAATCAACAGATGCAGCATCAATCTTGCACCAACTAGAAGATCTAATGCGGTGAAGATTTTCCGACTCAATTTTTTCTTTAAGGAGATCATTTTGCTTAGAAAGATAAATCATTTTACACCCAAGTAATTGGTCTTCTTGAGGATCACCTGAACTATATGGCTTGCAAAACTTGTTGCTTATTAAGCATACAATGCGTAGGTACTCTCCAATATATGGTATCTGGGAGTTTGGCATCACATGGTTGAAAAACACCCATGTCTTAAATCTGCCTTTTGCAGATTCAACTACCCAATGAATCTTTGTTATCAATCTTGAAGTATTACTTTCTTCTGTTGTAAACTGTGACTGGCCTTTTTTTTTTAAGAAAGAAGGCATTTCTGTTTGTATTCCTAATTCCTGCAGAAGATCAATTGAATCACAAAATCCACGGTCAACAATGACAACATCATCTTTCTGCAACCAACTTTTAATCTGCTCATTGTCTGAAGCAATTATATGCTTTAGTATGTTGGCGTCATTATTTTTGCTATCTGCCAGGTATGGACCCATAACGCTGACAAAATAACCTGTAGTGCTTACAAAAACCATGGGTTTAACGAGAGGCCGATGCTTGTGCATGCTGAATGTACGACGTTGAAACTGAAATTGACCGCTTTTCTGTATATATATGTATGTTCCGTCAATTACAAGAATTGCAGGATTGAATTCATTGCCAAATAATGTCTGGGCAAAAGGTCTAGTATGGTTTTCAATCAATTTCTCTCTAGAAATATGATTGAATCATAAGTGCTTTGGTACGAATGTCTGCATAAGATTTTTTCGGACTGTTGCAACTGCTCGACGGATCGAATCCTTTCCTACATTAAAAATAGTAGCCAAAAGTTTGTTGGACATTCCTGACCGCATTTTCGTCAAGAAAATGCCTAAGCATGTTCTGGAACTACGCACCTTTGTATCTCTAATAGAAACAAGATGTGTTGCTAAATCATTGAAAGATGCTATATCAATGCCTGTTAAACTTGTGTACTCTGCATCACTTAATGATGAGTCGTTATCAAAATTTAATCGTTTGTCATCATTTTTTAGCAGTAGCATTCTTATTTTTCGAAGTAGGTCCAAAATGTCACTTCGGTTAAATTCTGTCGAATTTCTTAAGTCTGGTAAACATTAAAGGGCTTGTTCACTGAATGTCTCATCTGAAATATGACAAGGACAGTATCTAGCTCCTCCAGGTATTATAATATTCCTTTGTACAAATGTATTAAGCCTTGTTGAGGCAGAAACAGCAATTAGTTTAGGGCCTCGTTTCCTGCAAACGAAGCAGGTTGAGTGGCTTCCACCTATTGAAGATAAAGACAACGTAATAATTTTAAGGGGACGCAAGTGTCTATTGTGATGTGTTTGCAGTTGGTAGTACTTCAGGTTTAGCATTGGCAATGGATTTTTCATCAGATTGTCTGTAATATTTACGTCTACATGTTCGACGTATTACATCAGAACTAGCAACATTTAGGAAATTTTTTTTGTACAAGTATTTACGTAGTCCTTTGTTATTTTCTCCACCAAGAAACCATTTATCATGATGTTTTGTCCTCTTAGTACAGAGAACACATGTAAATCGTGTAACTTTAGACATATCCTGCAAAATGAAATAGCATATGATTGAATTAACAAAGAAATTCAATTTCAATTACAAGTAAAATATTAGTTTTTTTTTCTATTTTGAAACTGTGCGTGTGGTTTCTTTGTCTATTCAGCTTAGAATTAAACCCGACTAAAATATGAAGAAATCGTCGAGTAGACGGCAACCCAAAAACACACTTCAACTAAACGGGACAATGAATTACGAATTGTTTTCATTTAAGTTATAAAAGAAAATGTGAATGTTTAACTTAGTTTCCGTACTTAATCATTTTTTTCTTTTTATTTTGTGCTGTGATCTATGTACTTTAAATACTCGTAGAGCTCTATTCTGTGTTATTATTTGGTAATCGTTACTTTATGACGGTTTACGTTCTTTCTTCTCAAGCATTTGATAGCCACAAAATTAGAAGAATGCGATTTAAAAAAAAGTTAAAACGAAAAGAGAACCATAAATCATTATTATTATTTATACACTAGACGAATGCGAAGCTGTGTGAATTGTGCTATCCTATATATATATATATAATTTAATTTTGGATGTAACGCGTCTTCCGATTGGCTGACGTTGTTTTGTTTATCAGCTCATAGACATAATTTTGTCTTGTGACCTTGACGTCATCAACGTTTTTTCATGATTTACTCCGGAATAAAATGGAATTAAGAATTAAATTATAAGAAATGACTGCATTACAAAGATTCATTATACCACATGTATCATTGGTGCAAGCTTTATACATTATACATCAGTGCATACTGGTTGTACTTACAATGTTGCATCTCATAGCTATTTAAGGAATGACTGTAATATTTTTTTCTGTCTATTCGAAATAACATAAAAAATGTGGTGCACACTTTAAAATAACCCACTAAGCGGGTTATTCGGTGTGCACCACATTTTTGATGTTATTTCTTCATAGACAGAAAAAAATATTACAGTCATTCCTTAAATAGCTATGAGATGCAACATTGTAAGTACAACCAGTATGCACTGATGTATAATGTATAAAGCTTGCACCAATGATACATGTGGTATAATGAATCTTTGTAATGCAGTATTATATATAGGTGTATTATCACACATATCTTGTCTATTGATATTGGTAGATTAACACGTGATATTTTCTTGTATCTTCTTCATCCAAAAAAAGTCTGAAACAAAATTTATAAGTTTTTTTAACTGTACTATAAAGACAATCTTTTTACAAATATGCTGTTAGTTTTCGCTCTGATACTAGCGTATGACAACATCGGATTTTATTGACATATATATATATATAGATATATAGACTATAAAGAGTTCATCAAAGTGAAAATCATAGAATTCATAAAAAAAAGCGTTATCCTTAATTTGTTTAATTTAAAGTTGTAATGAAATATGTATTATAAAACTCGGCTTCTCTATATTTAAAGAAAAAAAAGAAAAAAGAAAAACATAACAAATTATGAGATTCGATCCTGGAACTCTACCGTCATACGCAACGGCCATACGATCGCGGCTGTCAATACTATCATGTTGATGTATGGTACACAGGTATCGCGTTACAAACTTAACGTCTGCAGACACGTATACATTTTTGTTTTATATTGTTTAAACTACATATTCGATTTTTATTATGCATTTCTTTAAAATTATATTTGTTAAAAAATGATATCGTTTAACATTTATTGCAAAAACCTTCGTCTGTTAGTGTTACAAACGGATAAGAAAAAAAAATCTTTGTTTTCCAGTTGTTGCTTGTTATTTGTTTGTTTGTTTGCTTTGATTTTGTAGAGATAAAATGCTTGTTGTGTTTCGAATGAAGTTTTAGACTGAAATATAAAAAATATATCTTTGTGTTCATTTTTTTTTTTTATTCATGTACGCATCATTGATCGGGTCTAGTGACTTCAACTAACTATTTCTAACGATTAAAAAAACTAAATTCCTCATAGGCCTATTTACCTGCAATTTAAGCCAAACTACACCATATTCTTCATCTCTCTGCACATAATAAATGTATATCGCCGTATGTTTTGTTCTAATTTATAGATATTTCAGATTTACAGTCTTTGGAAATGTCACCACTTTGCAGATCCTCATAATAATGATCGAACAACAAGTGCGGAAAATTTTTCCGGAATTCCGAAACCATTAGAATTAAAATAATATCCGACTTGAATGGCTGTACTTTAGTACTACATATTGTCATCAAGATTGATACAGTAACCCCAAAATATAAGCAAGATTTTTTTCGCAAAATCAGCTGTTTTCTTTAAGCAATCGTCCGGGACAATCGTATACCCCGTTCACACTATGCATTTTTAAACCGGGTTCGACCCGAATTAATTAATCCGGATTAAATTCCAATAGTGTGAACACGTTAAACTGGGGCGAACCCGGATTAGAATTACCCCTCATCTGAGGTGGAGTTAATGTGGGGCGAACCCGGATTAGCTACCCCACATTCTAGTGTGAACGCAAAGTGGAGTTAATGTGGGGTTATTGTCATAGCGTTACGTGACGTTTTCTGTCGTCTGTCATTGCCAATATCAGGATAGCCATGGATGCCGAACAATATAATTCTTCAAAAAAGCGAGGTCTATCCTGGAGTGACCAGGAGACGAAGGCTTTACTTTCAACGTGGGGAGAAGGAAGAATTCAGTCAGAATTGGACAATTCAACAAGAAACACCCATGTATTTTCTTCAATTATAAGAACAATGGGCGGCTTGAGGAATCTTCGGACGGCACCGGAATGTAGACAGAGAATTAAAACTCTTAAAAGAAACTGCTTTAAATAATGCAAAAAACAGCAACAAATTGAGTGGAAATGGCAGAACAACTTGTAGTTATTATGATGAACTTGAGGAAATTTTAGGAGGGCGCCCGGCAGTAACTCCACCAAAAGTTAGAGACTCCTCTGAAAACCATAGCCCGAGAAAAAATTCTTCTGTTGAAAGATGCAGTGAGCCGGAAGATGAAGATGGTGATATGGACAGTATTTTTCAACAGCCATCCACTAGCTGTTCTTCTGCATGTTCTGTGACCATGGTACCAGCAACCGTTAAACCGATTGCAGACGTAAGTATAAAACAATACGGTTGTACATGTAGTATATTCCACTGATATTTTATTCCCATTAATCTGCATGTAACACACCGAAATTTCATTAGGGAAGCGTACAGTATTAGTGCGATTGTTCAGAACAAATATAGCGAATAAATAAGTTTAGCTTAGTCACAAAATTGTTTATGAAATATGCTCAGTATAATAGATCAGTATAATGGAATACACTATCCGCATCTAATTCGAATTTGTTCCTTTCATCACCGATTTCATTCCTACTTTTACATGTTAAATTTCCTCTACCATTTTCTACATCCGATTTTAGTTTTTTAACATCTTTTAGTATTTAGTATTGTACAAGTACACCAATCAAATATGTCCATAGACATCTTTATGTTTAATATGGACCAGAAACACGAATCAACACACCACATTTTGGCTATGATTTTTGCATTTTTCTTTACATTAATCTACATCAGTACATGCATGTACATGCATGCTAGCTTAATAAACGTATTTACACTTTTGGTATTTAGCTATATTTTGCCTCCGAATGACCTTAGATCTACTCCGAATCACCTTTTGACGTCAGACAACAATCACTTTTTAATTGTGACATCAAATGTTTTGAATTATGATGTCAAAGTTTACGGGAACCTGTGTGATTTTACGTAATGGCGGACAAATTTGCATACAAGTGTATATACGTCTATTTTTAATGATTCAGCTGTATAGCTTTAAGGACATATCATCATGAACATAAAGGTTTAGGTCAAGAAATGTTCAGAGATATTTAAAACATTCAGTGTGGCTGATTTGAAATGTTTGACACTTTTTGTCTAAATGTCAGCCAAATTTGTCCAAAATGTCTGATAATTTCATAAAAATTTGTTAAAATTTATGCTTATAGAAGTGTGTTTTGACTGACCAGATTTGAAAATATAGTGACAGTCCAAATGTCAAGTACAAAAAGTCTTTTCAAGAACTCTGAATTGTTTATGGCTGAACTGGTTTACAAAATAAGATGGGTGTCTCTAATCATTTAAATACACAGGCATATGAATATGGAATGACCATTGGACAGGTCAACACTAGCATAAAAAGCTACAACATACATTTTTATGCTAATGTTGTCAATAAATGAAAATGAATAAAGGTTTGCATAAATTCACTCAATATTTATCAGTATAATATGCAAATCATATAAAAATTATGATGCTATAAACATGATAAAACTTCTCATGGTTAATGAATAACATTTATTTATATTTGTAGTCCCAGATTGAGAAAGACACATGTTTACCACAGATGACTCACATATCAAGAGCAGAAAGAAAGGTATATTAATCTTGTTAATTGATTTAGTAATACTTGATCTAAATTTCATGCTTAACAAGACCCCCTATTTCCTTCTAAAAAAATCTCCAAAACTAATGAATTGTTAAAAAAACCTATTCAATGAAAGTTTCACTTTTATTACATACATGTAAAATTGAGAATGGAAATGGGGAATGTGTCAAAGAGACAACAACCCGACCATAGAACAGACAACAGCAGAAGGTCACCAACAGGTCTTCAATGCAGCGAGAAATTCCCGCACCCGGAGGCGTCCTTCATGTAATATACTTGAGCAATGATGGAAAATTCTATAATCATATATTCATGCTTAACAAACGACAAAGTGATCAAGGAGTAACTGTCCCCCATGATTTCTTTCTCAATAATTTATGATATATGTATTTCTGTCTTTTTCAAGTGAACTGAATTGTATATGTATATAATAGATATCATATGCAAGTATGAAAATGTCAACATCACAAAAAAATAATAAAATCATGAACAAATATTGAATATTTCAGATAACCAATAACTAATTTGTTCATGATTTTGCTATTTTTTGGTGGTGATGTACACTTTTACATGTTTTAATCCTGCATATTATATTTTGTATTGTACTGAATCATAATTATATGATCCATCACCTTGTATGATCATTTAGCATTGGCTATAATCATGATTTTTTTTAAACATTGTACATATTAATATACATGTATGTATTAAAAAAATGTGGTAAGATTGCCAGTTAAACAACTATCAATCCAAGACTCAATGTTGTTGATGATAGCAATTTTGGGTGATGGTACAGTAGTCAATGTAGAGTATAACTTCACACTGGATAATAAGCTTTAAAGGGTTATGAAATGACCAGTGTACAGCAATTTAGACCAGAAAACAAATGATCATTTCTACAAACCAATTAATAAAAAAACAAATTTTAAATATATAGTAACAAGAGACATCCAATAAAAAACAGTTGACCTACAAGTAGATTGAATGGTTACTTTTTATTTCAGAAAACAGATGAACGAAAGAGAAAAGACTAGAATGACCCTGAATGTAGAAAAAAACAGGGAAGTAAGTATTAAGCAAACAGGCCCTTTCTTCTACTATTACATACAATGTATGTATGCTTAGTCCATGTAGTTGTACCATTGATAATACCATTAGTTGAAAACAAGAAATGAAAAGACTCATATTTAGACTCAGAAACAGGTTCCAGTACACAAAAAATGTATTTTTTTTAAGAAAATAAGAAAATGTGGTATGATTTATAACATAAACATAACCTCAGTGCTACTGGAGATGTGCAAATTATATCTCATCATTAAAATTCAAAATCTGATACAAGTGTTATTTTAAAAGCTGAATAAACACAACATAGCAAGCTAATGACCTTGACATCATTTTCATGGTTCATTGGCTAAATATTATTCCTTGAATTTTATGTTGATTTTTTTTATTAATTAAAGAATTAAAAATACTGAAAAAATATTAAATTTGTGAAAGAAAAACACACATGTTAGCAGTTGAATGTTGTTTTGGTCACATAAAGAAAATTTTCAATATGCTATTAAATTCATGGATTAGTTCTAAAATATGAAATTTTCAATTTGATTTTTAATAGTAACTTTTATAATTTTATAGCCTCTGGGAAAATCAGAAAAAGTGATGAGAGCCTTATGGCTATGTTAAAAGAACAGCAAAAAGAGTTTTTATCAAATGAATCAAAGAGATGGGAGGAAGAAAAGGCTCGAGAGGAGAAAATGAGAAAAGAGGACAAGGAACATGAGCTGAATCTATTTTCTATGTTTGCTACAATTCTTAAAGGACAGCCATCATCCCAAATTACATCATGTCATGCATCATCAGTATCGTCATTCCCTTCTTCATCATTCCAGGATTCAACATTCCAGGCTTCACCATTACATTCTACATCAACATCATCAACATAACACAGACCAACCTCAAATGTTAATAATGCTTCTTTCCTTCCAGAAGCATCATGCAGTAATATGAGCTTCTTGAGAATGCTAAATAATGATGACTGTTTTTAGCTGTTAATTTCAATTTATACCAAGTTAGTGTTTTTTTTTCAATCCATATATTTTAATTTTAACTTTAAATTTTAAGATCTAGATGAAAGAACATTTATTTATGTTTGTGAAAAGAAATATTGTTCCTCTAAATTTCTTTGTAAAAATTGTAAAAATTGGAATAGAAGGATATGTCCTAATAAAAACTTATCGTTTTTTTTCTCTTTATTAATGCTGTCTCCCCTGCAACAGAGGTTGCAGAAAGTGAGACTTAGATGACAGGGTTATTTGCACTGGACCTTAGATCTTAATATTTCAAAAGGTAAAAGGCCTTGATGCTTTATACTTTGTATATAGATATCTTATGTTATGACTTTTCCGTTGGTCATATGACTATTGTCCTTGACCTAATTTTCATGGTTCACCGATTTCTTTAAAAGAAAGTTAAGATTCTTTGTTATAATATTAATTTCTCTTTTTCTTTAACATATAGGATAACTATATTTGGTATGTGCAGTTTTATCTCAGATACAATAAGCAGCTGTCAATTATATTTGGTGTTTGGAAATACCCGGAATTGTTGTTCTAAGGTGTACATGAATCATCTGACCTTAACCTCATTTTCATGGTTCGTTTGTCAATGTTCATTTTTTCTTGTTCAGTCTCTTTTTTAGATACATTACTATAATGAATAGGTATTCTATATTTGGTCTATGAAATGATTTTAAGATGTACAGGTCTATCTTGTGTCATCTTACCTTAAAATAATTTTTCTTTGTTCATTTGTAAAAGTTAGATTTTCAGTATGAGGTTTGCTTCATAAGTGTTAAATGTGAATACAGAAACAATGCCGTCATCTCTTTAGACTGAACAAAAAAAAAAGAATCTGTCTTTCTCACTTCATTGACAGAATGCAGAAAAATGGGGATGTTTATCCTATAAATCTTAATATTTTAAAATTGATAACAATATTATCATATCTTGTATATGGATGAACTATTGTAGCTTAATTTGAAGCTTCAGTATAGCATATAGTTTTTATTAGTCCCCTACCAAGGAAATTGAAGGGAACTTTAGGTTTGCACTCTGTCTGTTGGTCTGTCATGTAAATCAGCTTTCCACACTTTTTTTTGTCATGCTTCAAGATATTGGTTTGATATTTGGTATATAGTTTAACCATGACAAGTTACAGATCAAGTTCTACTTTTGTTCCGGTCTGATGAATTTTTGCAGAGTTATGGCCCTTGGATTTAGAAAAATCACATATAAAGTGATAAGTTTTTAGCACTTTTTTCGTCATGCTTGAAGATAATGACTTCATATTTGGCAGATAGTTTAACCATGACACGTTATAGATCAAGTTAGAATTTTGTTCCGGTCTGATAATTTTTTGAACTTAGAAAATCCACTCAAATAGTTGGTTTTCCACATTTTTTTGTTAATGCTTAAAGATATTGACTTGAAATTTGGCTGATAGTTAAAACATGACAAATTACATGTGTGAATTGTGTTCTGGTCTGATGATTATTTTCAGAGATGGTCCTTGGACTTGTTGAAATTTTTTTTTTCCAGGAAAGCCGGCAATAAATTTTAGCATATTCAATTATGCTAAAAATATATATAAAAATAGGAAAATTTTGTATGATTACCAATGAAACAACTCTCCATTTAAGACCAAACGTCATTGATGTCAGCAAAAAGTAAAATAACAAAAATACCAAACTCCAGGGGAAATTCTAAAGGAAAGTCTTTAATCAAATGGCTTATCGATAAGCTCAATCACATATAATGAATGGAAAATAACTGTCATATTCCTGAATTGTTACAGGCATTTTCTTAGTTAAAAAAATTGTGCATTAGACCTGGTTTTAAAGCTAGCTAAATCTCTCACTTGACAGTCGCCTAGCAATTTAAGGTTACTACATCCTTGAATGCAGAATCTTGGCTTTCACTACATAGTAAGCTAATTGACCAATTTAAAGCATTTCAGAGGATAAACTGCTTACAGTGCAAGATTTTCTCATTGTTGAAGTTCATATATTGAGCTGTAGTTGTTTACATTGTTCATCTTAGTTAATGGCATACTCAGTCAGTCTCATTAGCAATCATACTTTACTGATATGTTTTAATAACAAGAAGGATGTCATCACAACTAAGAATTTAACTAATAGTAATATTTTAATACTGAAGATCATTTTATATTTGAACTACTGTTCCCTTTCTTGTAAAAGGTAGTTAATTATTGTATCCCTGACCTGCTTTCCAGTTTGTGTTGCTGCCTGATAATCATTTGGGGCATTATTCATTTCCTCTTGTTCTAGCCATTCTTCAGGGAATTCATTCAAAAAAGTTTCACATATATTATGCAATGTACAACAGCACTCTGCAACATCAGGTACAAAAAGTGTAGATAAATCATTTCTTTTCATTAAACATCTCCATCTTCCTTTCAATCTGCCAAATGCATTTTCCACCACCATCCTTGCCCTTGACAACATATAATTAAAATATCTCTTTTCTGCACTTGAGGCTCCATTGTCCCTGAAAGGTTTTATCAACCATGGCATTAATGGGTATGCTGCATCCCCAATAATAAACGGAGTAATTGTTGTGTTATTGAATCTTTTGTCTAGTTCATTTCCAACAACATTGCCTCTCTGAAATTGTGCATATATGGATGAATTTGCAAAAACTCGTGCGTCATGAACCCGACCTGCCCAGCCAACATTTATATTCCAAAACTTATATGAGGAGTCAACGACTGCCTGTAAAATAATGGAATAAAAGCCCTTTCTGTTGTGATAGTCAGCTGGTACTTCTTTAGAAGAGGGACGAAAGATACCAGAGGGACAGTCAAACTCATAGATCGAAAACAAACTGACAACGTCATGGCCAAAAATAAAAAGACAAACAGACAAATAATAGTACAGATGACACAACATAGAAAACTAAAGACTAAGCAACACGAACCCCACCAAAAACTGGGAAGCCAGAATTGGAATGTGTGTGCCATCTATGGCCCCTGAAATAAAAAAAGGACAAACTTAATTAATCAGATTTTCTGAATTAGACTTTACACAAAGTGTAATCTCATTTTTTCAGAAATGTGTGTTTCTTTGTTAGAGAATTTCTGTATATTTTTTTGCGCTGTCTCATATTTTCTTTTATATCAGGGCTCTTGAAAAAGTATATCTGTTGTCGAGAACTGATCAGTGTGTGGTAAGGAGAATATGCAATGTTAGGCTGGTCACAAAAGTCTTTGCAAATGTCAATGTAAAACTTGGTTATATCAGGGATCTAATAATACATATTATTAGGTCCCTGGTTACATACTATAAATAAAGAAATATGTATCTCCATCTTGTAAAGCTCTCACTGGTAAAAATGTGTAAAGAAGTATAAAGACAATATATATACTGTGCTTTTTTCATCAAGAAACCTTGACATATATTACAGTCCGCAGGAAGACATGTCACCTTACCCGGACACATTATTCTGACTCCGAGCCGACCAGTCTTTGCTCTTACTCCTTAATGTGGCGTGCTTAGCGGAGCAGCAGAAATATTCCAATTTTAAAGTCTTTGGTTTAACCCGGTCGGGGTTCGAACCCAGGACCTCCCACATTCACTACCACGAGACCACCGAAGCGGTTTTTTAAATGAGAATTTATATCTTATTAAGTCTAAATGTATTTATTTAAATTCTTTCTTTTCTTTATTAAATTTTAAGATACCAATATAACGTGGAAAAGAAGGAAAATTAAGTGAAAACAGGACCGGTACCAGTCCCTTGAGCAATTCTAGAAGTCTGTAATGCATTTCTTGTTTCTGTCCCCCTTTTCCATCCACTGTTGAGAAAACAAATATTGCAGATGTTTGCCCCCTCCAACACTTTTCGGTTCATCCCTACACCTCTTCTCATATCTCCTTTTATTTATGCTTATAACAAAAATATGAAACATTATGAATGAAGGTTTTAAAGTAACGGGAGAAAATGCTCAACCTTTAGCAATTTAAAATTTGAAAAATCAAATTGAAATGAAAAAAAAAAACTCAATATTTCTATCGATATAAGTTTCTAAAGGTAATGAAATCCCAACAGTACCCGATTTTTTTTTTTTTTTACATGAATCATTTTAAAATACCGTTGAACGATCATATTTATCAAACCAGTTCATGTTGTACCCTGCCCAAATCGACGAAGATTCTAGCCGACGCAATGCATATCAAATGCCAACTCTTATCCATTGACTAAACGAGTTAGAATTGGTCATACATATTGCCATGTAATATGTCGTGGTTAAATAAATAAGATATTTCACTGACAATTTATCAAAGGCTCTTTCAAAAAAACCAAGAGTTTAATGTTATTATGGTAATCATGTGAAACATGTGCGACAAAACGTCAACGTCGTCGAAGATTATACCTATATTGTGACGTCGAAATATTGTTACGTTTCTAACGTCTTGGCAATTTTGAATTTTGGTCTTGGCACTTTCAATGTCCATAAAATTCGATGACCCTTTAGACAATGTATATATACAGATGGTATCAAAAGGCTTTACCAGAATATTATCATCTTCGATATCTACGGAGGGCTTAAATTGTCACTTTTCAGCAAAAAAATCGTCGAAAATTCAGGCCAAAGGGCACAGGGCAATGTCTCAACCCCCCGATCTCTCCATCTTCCTAATATTATGCAGATAGTTAGTTAATATAAAGATACAATCGAGACCAAAAGGAATTTGGGTAAACTTCTTGTCTTCTATGTTTACGGAGGGCTCAAAGTGCCAGTTTGATATTCAAAATGTATAGTGAAAACCTACCGGAGACCGCTTGAATGACGGCGAGCCCCCCTGGTTTTTCAATGTCCATAAAATTCAATTTTAGACTATGTATATATACAGATGGTTTCAAAAAACTTTCCCAGAATAT